AGACTTAAGGCAACAGAGATGTGATTCAACAGATGACGAAGAGACTTAAGGCAACAGAGATGTGATTCAACAGATGACGAAGAGACTTAAGGCAACAGAGATGTGATTCAACAGATGACGAAGAGACTTAAGGCAACAGAGATGTTATTCAACAGATGACGAAGAGACTTAAGGCAACAGAGATGTGATTCAACAGATGACGAAGAGACTTAAGGCAACAGAGATGTGATTCAACAGATGACGAAGAGACTTAAGGCAACAGAGATGTTATTCAACAGATGACGAAGAGACTTAAGGCAACAGAGATGTTATTCAACAGATGACGAAGAGACTTAAGGCAACAGAGGATGACGAAGAGACAGAGATGTGATTCAACAGATGACGAAGAGACTTAAGGCAACAGAGATGTGATTCAACAGATGACGAAGAGACTTAAGGCAACAGAGATGTGATTCAACAGATGACGAAGAGACTTAAGGCAACAGAGATGTGATTCAACAGATGACGAAGAGACTTAAGGCAACAGAGATGTGATTCAACAGATGACGAAGAGACTTAAGGCAACAGAGATGTGATTCAACAGATGACGAAGAGACTTAAGGCAACAGAGATGTTATTCAACAGATGACGAAGAGACTTAAGGCAACAGAGATGTGTTTCAACAGATGACGAAGAAACTTAAGGCAACAGAGATGTTATTCAACAGATGACGAAGAGACTTAAGGCAACAGAGATGTGATTCAACAGATGACGAAGAGACTTAAGGCAACAGAGATGTTATTCAACAGATGACGAAGAGACTTAAGGCAACAGAGATGTTATTCAACAGATGACGAAGAGACTTAAGGCAACAGAGATGTTATTCAACAGATGACGAAGAGACTTAAGGCAACAGAGATGTGATTCAACAGATGACGAAGAGACTTAAGGCAACAGAGATGTGATTCAACAGATGACGAAGAGACTTAAGGCAACAGAGATGTGATTCAACAGATGACGAAGAGACTTAAGGCAACAGAGATGTTATTCAACAGATGACGAAGAGACTTAAGGCAACAGAGATGTTATTCAACAGATGACGAAGAGACTTAAGGCAACAGAGATGTTATTCAACAGATGACGAAGAAACTTAAGGCAACAGAGATGTGATTTAACAGATGACGAAGAGACTTAAGTCAACAGAGATGTGATTCAACAGAATGATTCTGAGAATGCTATGGATGGAACACATGAGGAATGGGGAAGTCTTAAAGAAAATGGAAACAAATCAGAAAGAAAGAATTGAAATTTCTAGGACACGTAATAAGCAACGAGGGCTTGTAGAATTTAACACTGACAGATAATATTGAAGGTAGAAGGCCAGCGAGAAGCAGTGAGTAATCTACCTAAAGAGCTTGTGATATGGCAGAACAGCGACTGGACGGAATGGTGAAAAGATAAACTTTTCTAAGAGACAGACAGTGACAAGCACCAGAGATGTGGTTCTACAGAAGGATGCTGAGAATGCCATGGACGTATTATGTGAGAACGTTTTAAGGAAAAATGCAAAGAAAAGTGCTTTTCTATTCAGAACCAGTGAAGATTTCTAGAACACATAATGAGGAAAGAGTACTTCGAGAATTTGACATTCACAAGACAAGACTGCAAGAGAGGCAGGAAGAAACGTTGGTTAAAGCACGTAAAATGATAGAAGAAACGGGAATGGGATGGTACTAAAGACAAATATCGCCAAACTCTACAAAGGATAGGGTATTGTGGAGAGCTGTGACCACCCACGTCCTGAAGGGACAAGGCACATAAAAGAGGAATATGTATAATCTTTGAACAATGTTTAAAGGTGGCTATATGGTCTTTGAAACTTCAAAAAACTTTAAAAAATTTTATTCTGGGACTTTAAGGAATTATTCTTATTGTATGTAGCTGTGGTCAAAAGAAATTAGCGACTCCATTTTGGGACGAAATTTCATATTGGACGTTTCTTCCCTCTACACCGGTTTCTTAGTATTCATCGTTATTCTTTACCCTGTATGCGTTTCGTTGTTCGGGCACCTCGACGTGGTGTAATGGTTAGAAAGTTTGTCTTGCTAGATCAGTTACGACTGAGTAGTGAGTTCGATTCTCACTGGGTGACCCTCGGCGTGGTGTAATGGTTAGTAAGCTTGTCTTGCAAGGTCAGTTACTACTGAAAAGTGAGTTCGATCCTCACTGGGGGCCCCATTCTTTCGGCCTTGTGCCACATCTAAGCTACGCTTGGAAAATCCCTATGCATTTCGTTGTTCGTTTCTTTCTTTCTATCCTTCCTTCTTTCATTCCTTCCTACCACAAATACATGTATCGTACGATGTACCCCGACAGAAGAGACCTGTCATCTCCATGATGGCCGATATATAATCGCGAGTCACCAATCTTTTGCCCGGAAGATAAACATACTAGGGTTATGGGTACTTCAGAATGGAGCACTAACATACCCGGATGTTCCTCCTTGATTCCGTCCAACTACGCTAATATTATGTAAAGTTGCTAATGAACCAATTTCTTGTGGGACAACGAAGAAAAGTCTCTTTTGAAGGAACGACGCACTCGCCTTCTCTCAATCGAACTCCTACATTCCAGACAAAGACGAACTCTCTTTCGTCGAGAATAAGGCAAGTCCTGGGCACCATTTCTGCCATTCGACTCCGGTTCTGGTTCACTATGTCTGATACAGTAGCTTTAATAGTGTACGCATTTGGAAAAAAAAAACTATGCAAAGGCATAATGATACAAAGATTGAACTACCAGGAAAACTTTATTTGGGAAATATATTGGAATAATCCAGAAATTAACCACCCGCATACGTAAAAAATAAAGCATATATATATATATATATATATATATATATATATATATATATTTAACTGGTTTGACAGATGTTTGCCGAGGAATTCATTTCTTACATTTAATAATTTATCTTGTTTTTAAAACCAATTTTTTAAATTTTCTTCTGAGCATTTTGGCATTTTTTGCTATTAGCGTTGCCCTTTCTCTATCTTATACTGCTAAAAAAAAATCAATTTTTGTATGTTAGCCATTCAAACGCTACTCTGTCCTACAAGTTAATGTGTCACCTTATGGACCATAAAGCAATCTATATCAAAAAACATAAGTGATAAAAGATCCACTAACATAAGACAAATAATTTTAAATTACATTCACTTACGTGCTAATGTTCTTGGGAAAGGTGTTAATCCTTTTCTTCTCCCTCCAGCTATTGGTAAATAGTAGGACAGACTTAGTTCTATAGCCTTGGCAACTAGTCTAGGAGAAGGAAAACTCTGAATTCAAAACCCGCGGAGGGTCCTTTGGGGGCCTTGTGGAACGTAATGCACCAGGTCTCTGTATTCGGCCCTTCAAAAAGTGTGGTTGGTTGTGCACAAAGCTTTCACCATATGTCCTGGTGTTTGGCTGTCGGTTCCTAGGAACTGAGCTGCTTGACCCTCATACGTTGAATACGACGGGAGAGTCCACACACACACACACACACACACACACACACACACACACACACACACACACACACACACACACACACACACATATATATATATATATATATATATTTGTATATTTAGGCAGCAATCCTTCCTTTATGCATGTTTCATTAAAAACGACAGACACGGTACTACGGTTGAGAATTTTTCTTGTGTTCTGACAAGAGCTTTCTTTTCCGGACAAAGAGCGTGTAAGAACTGTCCGAATGTTCTGTGTTTCCGAGCGCTTTCGGCTATACCTTTAGCCATTATCAAGGATGATTCAATTATCAGCTTAGTAGAGTGTGTGTGTTCTGTGTATGTTCAGTGTGTGGTAGTGATGTTTTTAGTTTCCGAATACGGTTAGCACATTGTGGCTTTGTTCATAGTTAATATTGTTAAGGTTTGGCTTTTCCTTTTTTATTATTAGAGCTTCCATTATTTTTAGTTTTTTTGCAAGTGGATGCAGTTAATATATTTGTGTTTTTCTACTAGTATGTTCCTAATAGTGTCGGGGTAAATCTGAGTGTGTGTTTAAATGTGTTCTGATGGAACTGTGATCAGATAGGTGTAATGTAAGACGTCTGGATAAACATGTGGTTATATATATATATATATATATATATATATATATATATATATATATATATCGGTAATTTTGATAAGGTAGGAAAATTCGATAACTATGAAATAAAAGTCGATTGTAAATTGATTTTAGGTCCGTTATCGAGTGAGGATTTAGCCGTTATCATCAGCTATGCTGACGGCAGGCACAAAAAAGTTCTCTGTGATGAGTAAAGTACCTGAGTCCTATTGTTATCCTCTATCTTTACAAGAGCCAGATTAGGACAAAAATGGTGTACTGTTGTCATATTTGGGCAGGATCTGCCAAAACCTTGACAGAGTTCATAAGCATCTCCAAGCCCTTGTGGGTAGTGAATTATTCTCCATCCGACAACCCCTCTCCCACAGGCGGGATATGGCAAGGCTCTAGCTGTTCTGCTGCTACTTCCATGGTAAGTGCTCGGGCGAACTACATTTTCTGGGCCCCGCCAAAGCAAACCTTCATGTCAAGAACCCGCCATGCCTCTTACATAGTAGCAAACTACACACATTGCCTCCATATTCCATCGGTGAGGAGTAAGTTCCACTCGAGCAGCCTCTTCCCAACGGCCCTGTGGAATCGACTCCCAACAGGATGTTTCCTGGATCACTACAATCTTAACCTATTCAAGGCTAAGGTTAAACGCCTATACAAACAAATTGTTTTCTAACGTAACCCTCTACCTCGAGTGGCCCCCGGGCCATGTAAAGGCTGACTCTCACTTCAAGAAAAAAAATTGAAAGCTGTTTTGTTTTGGAGGCGTTTAAAAAGGAAAGGGGGAAGAAAAGACTGACGATTTAAAGAAGACGGAATATATGGTTGTAAGAAGGAGGAACACCCAAAAGATACGAGCTAAAAATTGGCGACCCGATGTCAAAATCAGTCAGGTATCTGGGATGGTTTTTTATCTATCTGTCTATCTATCTATCTATCTATCTATCTATCTATCTATCTATCTATTAATCTATTAATCGCAGCGTGTTCCTTATCTATGTATCTAGCTAGCTATCACGGCTTGTTCACATCTATCTATCTAACTCGCTGCCTATACACATAAATGGTCTCTTAACGTAACACTCTACCTCGAGTGGCCCTCGGGCCATGTAAAGGTTGACTCTCACTTAAAAAAAACAAAAATTGAAAGCTGTTTTGTTTTGGGGCGTTTAAAAAGGAAAGCTGGAAGAAAAGACTCTGTCGATTTAAAGAAGACGGAATGTATGGTTGTAAGAAGGAGGAACAGCCAAAAGATACGAGCTAAGAATTGGCGACCCGATGTCAACATCAGTCAACAGTTTCGGTATCTGGGATGGGTTTTTTTTTATCTATCTATCTATCTATCTATCTATCTATCTATCTATCTATCACGGCTTGTTCATTTCTTTCTTTCTTTCTTTCTTTCTTTCTTTCTTTCTTTCTATCTATCTATCACGGCTTGTTCATTTCTTTCTTTCTTTCTTTCTTTCTTTCTTTCTATCACGGCTTGTTCACATCTATCTAGCCAGCTACGCAGTTTTTTTTCATATTATCTATCTATCTATCTATCTATCTATCTATCTATCTATCTATCTATCATCACGGTTTGTTCATTTCTTTTCTTTCTATCTATCTATCACGGCTTGTTCATTTCTTTCTTTCTTTCTTTCTTTTCTTTCTTTCTTTCTTTCTTTCTATCTATCTATCACGGCTTGTTCACATCTATCTAGCCAGCTACGCAGTTTTTTCATAGTTATCTATCTATCTATCTATCTATCTATCTATCTATCTATCTATCTATCTATCTATCTATCTATCTATCTATCACGGCTTGTTCATTTCTTTCTTTCTATCTATCTATCACGGCTTGTTCATTTCTTTCTTTCTTTCTTTCTTTCTTTCTATCTATCTATCACGGCTTGTTCACATCTATCTAGCCAGCCACGCAGTTTTTTCATATCTATCTATCTATCTATCTATCTATCTATCTATCTATCTATCCCAACTTGTTCATTTCTTTCTATCTATCTATCTATCTATCTATCACAGCCTCTTCATTTCTTTCTATTTATCTATCTTTCTATCACGGCTCTTTCACATCTGTCTATCTATCACAGTTTATTCATATCTATCTATCTATCTATCTATCTATCTATCTATCTATCTATCTATCACGGCTTGTTCATATATGCCTGCCTTCCTATCTATCTATCTATCTATCTATCTATCTATCTATCCAGCATGTCTCTCTCTCTCTCTCTCTCTCTATATATATATATATATATATATATATATATATATATATGTGTGTGTGTGTGTGTGTGTATATATAAAATCACAGCATATTTATATATTTTTCACAGATGATGGATAATGTGGCACGGAAATACGAAAGATGCATTACAAAAGTTAATCAAAATATAAAGAAAGAGGAAGAACTACAAAAGCGAACAGCTACAAAGGATTGGGAAATGTGGAGAGCCATCTTCACCCACGTCCTGAAGGGATAGGAATAATAGAAGAAGAAAAGCCTTAATGAGATTCGCTGTCTGACCAAGAGAAAAAAACAAATTTTATAAAGACGGGAATATTTATCAAGGTAGGCTTGTAATTAACGCAGTATTTTTGGTTTTATTTATCGATTACTTGAGACTGGAATCTAAGGTTATTTTTGGTTGCCTTCAAAGACCTATATTTCCAAGGTTGTTTATTTTTTTTATTGCTTGGTACAGGTGTTACTGAGTTGACGAGGTAAAATGTGGTGTCCGACTGTGAAACCAAGCAGTTTGTTTGGATAAGGCATCAAAGAAATAATGTAAAAGGGGAGGAATTGAAAACAAAAGGACAAAAAAGAAAATGAATAAAAGGGGTGGGGTGAGATAAGGGGAAAGAATAAAAAATAAGGAGAAAACTAAAGAAACAAAAAGGAAAAAACAATAAAGGAACAAAAATGGAGATACAATAAAGAAAGAAACAAAAAAGGGAAAAAAACGAAAGAGAAAGAAACAAAAAAGAAAAACACAAAGAAAAAAGAAAAGTAAAAGACGACAAGTATAGAAACAAAAATGGAAAAGAAAACACAAAGAAAGAAACGAAAAAAGGAAAGAGGACGAAAGAAATCACTGCCGAAAAACGACAAAGAAAGAAACAAGAAAAGAAAAACCAACAAAGAAAGAAACAAAAATGAAAAACAATAAAGAAACAAAAATAGGAAAATAAAGAAAGAATCAAAAAAGAAAAAACGACAAAGAAAGAAACATGATGAAAAAGTAATAAAGAAACAAAATTTAGAAAAGGACAAAAAAGGATAAATAAAGAAAACAAATATGGAAAAACGGCAAAGAAAGAAACACAATGGAAAAAAAACAATAAAGAAAGAAACACAAATGACAAAAAACGACAAGGAGAGAAACAAAATGGAAAAACACAATAAAGAGAGAAACAAAAATAAAAAAAACGACAAAGAAAGAAACAATAAAAAAAACAATAATGAAACAAAAATGGCAAAAAAACGACAAAGAAAGAAACAAAATGAAAAAAAAACACAATAAAGATAGAAACAAAAATGGGAAAAAAAACAATAAAGAAACAAAATGGAAAAAAAGGAAAAGAAAGAAACATGATGAAAAAATAATAAAGAAACAAAAATGAACAAAGGAAAAAAAAGGATAAAGAAAGAAAACAAATATGGAAAAACGACAAAGAAAGAAACAATAAAAAAACAATAATGAAACAAAAATGGAAAAAAAACGGCAAAGAAAGAAACAAAATGGAAAAACACAATAAAGAAAGAAACAAAAATAAAAAAAGACAAAGAAAGAAACAATAAAAAAACAATAATGAAACAAAAATGGAAAAAAACCGCAAAGAAAGAAACAAAATGGAAAAACACAATAAAGAAAGAAACAAAAATAAAAAAAGACAAAGAAAGAAACAATAAAAAAACAATAATGAAATAAAAAATGGAAAAAAACTGCAAAAGAAAGAAACAAAATGGAAAACACAATAAAGAAAGAAACAAAAAATAAAAAAGACAAAGAAAGAAACAATAAAAAAACAATAATGAAATAAAAATGGAAAAAAACGACAAAGAAAGAAACAAAATGGAAAAACACAATAAAGAAAGAAACAAAAATAAAAAAAGACAAAGAAAGAAACAATAAAAAAACAATAATGAAACAAAAATGGAAAAAAAACCGCAAAGAAAGAAACAAAATGGAAAAACACAATAAAGAAAGAAACAAAAATAAAAAAGACAAAGAAAGAAACAATAAAAAAAAACAATAATGAAACAAAAATGAAAAAAAAAAAGGCAAAGAAAGAAACAAAATGGAAAAAAACAAAGAAAGAAAGAAACAAAATAAAAAAAGACAAAGAAAGAAACAATAAAAAAACAATAATGAAACAAAAATGGAAAAAAGGGCAAAGAAAGAAACAAAATGGAAAAACACAATAAAGAAAGAAAAAAATAAAAATAAAAAAAAGACAAAAAAAAAAAGAAACAATAAAAAACAATAAAGAAACAAAATGGAAAAAAACGGCAAAGAAAGAAAATATGGAAAAAACACAATAAAGAAAAGAAACAAAAATAAAAAAAAAGACAAAAGAAAGAAACAATAAAAAACAATAATGAAACAAAATAAAAAAAGGAAAAAACAATAAAAAAAAAAATGAAACAAAAATGGAAAAAAAACACAAAAAAGAAAAAGAAAAAAAAAAAAAAAAAAATAAAAAAGAAAGAAACAATAAAAAAAACAATAATGAAACAAAAATGGAAAAAAACCGCAAAGAAAGAAACAAAATGGAAAAACACAATAAAGAAAGAAACAAAAAATAAAAAAAAAGACAAAGAAAGAAACAATAAAAAAAAAATAATGAAAACAAAAAAAAAAAAAAAAAAAGGCAAAAAAAAAGAAACAAAATGGAAAAAAAACAATAAAGAAAGAAACAAAAATAAAAAAGACAAAGAAAGAAACAATAAAAAAAAACAATAATGAAACAAAAATGAAAAAAAAAAAGGCAAAGAAAGAAACAAAATGGAAAAACACAATAAAGAAAGAAACAAAAATAAAAAAAGACAAAGAAAGAAACAATAAAAAAACAATAATGAAACAAAAATGGAAAAAAACGGCAAAGAAAGAAACAATATGGAAAAACACAATAAAGAAAGAAACAAAAATAAAAAAGACAAAGAAAGAAACAATAAAAAAACAATAATGAAACAAAAATGGAAAAAAACCGCAAAGAAAGAAACAAAATGGAAAAACACAATAAAGAAAGAAACAAAAATAAAAAAGACAAAGAAAGAAACAATAAAAAAAAACAATAAAGAAACAAAATGAAAAAAACGACAAAGAACAATTCCATCTCGCGAATTCAACTGTAAAACGGTGAGACCTAGTTGCCAGTCTAGTTGCACGCTTAAATCGGTGCACCAGGGAAAAAAAAACCTCATCAGAACAATTACCATGGGAATATTTGTCGAAAAGCGAGTGGGAAGATACGCCACTTCGTACAATTAGTGGCGGCAACACCTACTAAAATTTTCACGGTCTTATTTTTACAGATAGTATCTCCTCTCCTTTGACGGTGATGTTTCTCCATCAACCAGATGCAATAGATATATTCCAAGCGTAAGTGTGTTTTTTTTTTTCGGTTGACTCTGTTAATAATTACCTCAAGCCGTCATCGAATCTAAGTACTGACGAGGCGGGTGTGTAATTAACGTTAGTAAGCGAATCAGAAACACTGTATTTTGACTGTAAATTCATGTTTCGAATTGTTTGACTTTTTTACGGGTTATCAACTCTTATTTAAAACCGAAACATGTTTGAAATCATGAGAATTCTTTCGGGTTTTTTCTTTTTTTGCGTTTGACTATTGCATTAACAATTTGTTTGAAAATAACAATGAAAAATCCCTATACAAGCCACACTATTTAATCCGTAGCTGTGGGTAGGACATGGATTTGACAAAGTTTTACTATCTATCTATCTATCTATCTATCTATCTATCTATCTATCTATCGCACCGTGTTCACATCTATCTATCTATCTATCTATCGCACCGTGTTCACATCTATATATCTATCTATCTATCTATCTATCTATCTATCTATCTATCTATCTGTCGCACCGTGTTCACATCTATCTATCTATCTATCTATCTATCTATCTATCTATCTATCTATCTATCTATCTATCTATCGCACCGTGTTCACATCTATCTATCTATCTATCAATCTATCGCACCGTGTTCACATCTATCTATCTATCTATCTATCTATCTATCTATCTATCTGTCGCACCGTGTTCACATCTATCTATCTATCTATCTATCTATCTATCTATCTATCTATCTATCACAGCTTGTTCATTCTTTCTTTCTTTCTTTCTTTCTTTCTTTCTATCTATCTATCTATCTATCACGGCTCGTTTACATCTATCTATGTATCTATCTAGCTAACAAACTAGCTATCACATTTTGTTCATATCTATCTATCTATCTATCTATCACGGCTTGTTCATTTCTTTCTTTCTTTCTATCTATCACGGCTTGTTCACATCTATCTATCTATCTATTTATCACAGCTTGTTCACATCTATCTATCTGTCACTGCTTGTTCACATCTATCTATCTATCTATCTATCTATCTATCTAATCATCTTCGAAAGAACACTTTTGACCAACATTCCCCATTGATTCTGTCATCCATAATTCTAGCCAGTTCGTCCTTTCTGGTTCCCTATATCGTCTCTGAGATGACCGATAAAGATTCTTGCTCGTCTACCTCTTGATTCATTTTCCATAATTAAAATCCAATAGAATAAGCCGAACCATAGTTCCCAGTTTTCTTCACCACCAATAGCAACTCGCCATTCACAAGACACCGTCCGTCGGCGCCCATATCATTTTTCTTTGGACCAATGTTGCTTCCAACTGACATGTGGCGCTGCTCTCAGTAAGAGTTTGTTACGAACTGTTTCTTTTGTGTTATCAATGGCTTTTAAAAAATATGTCTGCTTGTATTTCTCTAATGAAATTTACTAATTACCAAGGAATTTTTAGTTAAATATTATTTTTTTTTAATCGAGTTCACCCCATATACGAACCAAGCACAAAATATATCCGACTATAATCGTACTTGGCCCCACCTTCGATAGTTCTTGGGGCTTACAGCTACATCACGTTTAAACACCGGTTGCCGTACGATTACAGAGGTTAAGGCAACCACGTATCTGGTCAGTAACTTAGTGGGCAACCGCTTGGGAATACTCTGTACTGTAAGCCTGGATGTGCAGGTGATCTAATGGATAATGTCTCGGAATTGTTAATCGAAGAGCCGAATTCAAATTCCAGTCGGGTTCGTTATATTCACTTACGCGCAAATACCCTCGCGAAAGGCACGAACCCACCTCTCCTGCTGCTTATGGGTTACGACTTCTATCACTAAATCATTTTTATCGCAAGACAAAAAATTCTTACAATCTAAAAATATTTTCTGGCTTTAAATAACCTTCAAAGTGTTGATAAGCCATAAAAAATGAATCAATCAACTTCCATTTGGTATTGATGACAAAACTATTTCCATAATATATACTGTTTCTAAAGCTATTAACTTGTCCTGTTTAATTATATGGAAGCAGAGAAGTGCCACGATGTCCCCTAACAAACCTCCTCAGGTTCTGAAATCACAGTGGTTGTTCTCCTAGACTTACTACCAACCATGTTTAAAAGAGCCAGTTTTTCCTAATACCTAAAAAATAGGATATATTTTGTTCTTGTTAATATCCATTTGCTTGATTCGTATAAGAGAACTGAATCCATCTCTCCACACCAGTGGATTCAGTCCTTTTACAAGGGTATTTACAAGCAAGTGAATGTAATGCACTCAATTGGAATTCGAACTAGGGTCTCCGATTTCCTAGAACGAGCTACCATCATTATTACCCTCGTACATACATATATATATATATATATATATATATATATATATATATATATATATATCGTGGTGATTTTCTAAGCCTAGCTTAGATGTGGTTCAAGGTCGGAAGTATGGGACAGTACTAAGTTGTAATTGTTCTAGCGGGCCAAGATGGCTAACCATGGTATTTATCTGAGACCTCACAACACAAGTTGGGATATGTCACAAGACCGGCTTTTTACGTGGAGCATTCCGAGCCCGTAGGCTCAGGCAAAAATTACTCGTAGACCCCGTGTACTCGAGGTCGAGTAGCTGTCTATCTCCCCAGAGTAGACTCTGCCCATCGGCAGAGCCTCGTCTGGGTTCCTCTCCGCCCAGAAGTAGTGAGTCGACAAGCAGAGTTAACTGTAATCGTTAACTCCTCTCAATGATTTTCCAAGCCTCGCTTAGATGTGGCACAATGCCGAAAGTATGGGGCACCCAGTGAAGATCGAACTCACTACTCAGTCGTAATTGTTCTAGCGAGACAAACTTGCTAACTATCATACCACGTCGAGATGTCCAGTGATTTTCTAATTGTAGCTTAAGATGTGGCCCAAGGCCGAAAGTATGGGGTACCCAGTGAGGATCGAACTCACTATGCAGTCGTAATTGTTCTAGCGACAAAAGCTCCATTGCATCACATCGAGATGACCAGTGATTTTCTCAGCGTAGCATAAGATGTGGCACAAGGCCGAAAGTATGGGACACCCAGTGAGGATCGAACTCACTACTCAGTCGTATTTGATCGAGGTAGACAAGCTTGCAAACCATTACAATATGTCGAAGTAGCCACTAGAGATTTTCTAAGCGTAGCTTAGATGTGGCACAAGGCCGAATGTGTGGAGAACCCGGTGAGGATCGAAATCACTACTAGCGAGACCTCGATCATTACACCGCGTTGAAGTGTCCAAATCAAGCGGTATATAGAGATTTACTAAGCGTAGCTTCGATGTGGCACAAGGCCAAAAGTATGAAGCTCCCAGAGTATGAAGATCGAACTCATTATTCAGTTGCAATTGATCTACCGAGACAAGCTCGCTAAGCAATGCATCACTTCGAAATATCCAATCCAAATACATATATGAATATCATTTTGCATACGGACATTTGAAACGCAGGTCCTCGTACGATTACTGATGCGACCAACAGCTAAACAAGACAGAATAGAGAAATTAAAATAAATAAATTAAAACTTTCGGGATCAAGTGTCATTTGGTCGGAATGTGACAACTTCCAGTCGCCGACATGGAAGTGGCCAATTCAAGCGGAATTTAGAGATTTACTAAGAGTAACTTAGATGTGACACAAGGCCGAAAGTATGAAGCACCCAGAGTATGAAGATCGAACTCACTATTCATTTGTAATTGATCTACCGAGACAAGCACGCTAACCATTACACCAATCGAAATATTCCATCCAAATAGACATATGAATATCAGTTTGAACTTGCCTTTTTCTTCTGAGAATCTCTTTTGTGGGTACCCAACCAGATGCAAAACATTCTGAATGCGTTTGACATTCGAGAAATACGCATTTTACTTTCTTTTTTCATTTTTTACAAGCATCTTTCTCGAAAGTGGTACTTGAGTTTCTTTTCCGAAAACTCACTCATCTGAACCGGACGGTATCCAATTCGGACGTCCATATCTTGTCCTGATCACTATTACTCTGTTGTAGCAATAATCTCGTCCTGAGTTCAGGGTCATTAACTCAAACATTCAACCCTAGCTCATGACCACTGGTCAGTCATCTTTTCTCTTTCTCTCGATAATTGTTCATATATATCAACTGGTTTAATGTTTCGCTATTTTTTCAGCTCTGCTTAGAACATTAATCAATAATATAAGTTGGGAAGGAATAAAAACGAAATGCTAAATAAAGAACAACTTCGGAGAAATTATAATTGTTTACAAGATTTCATGGCCGCTCTCCAAAATGTTTTTGCTGTGTTGCTGAATGGATCACTGTTCAAGAATACCCCGTAAATTCTCTTTAAGATTTTGAGGTTTTACGGCCATAAGCAACGTCAATATTTAGATGGGTGACAGCTTTGAAATATCAGTTGATGTAAACTTGGATTTGAGGGGGTATAAAAGGAATACAGCCATATCACTTGCTAATACCGGTTCTCGAACGATCACCGATATCAAGCAACGTCAAAACTAGTTAATACTTAGATAGGTGACAGCTTGGGAATACCAGTTGCTGTCAACTTGTATGTGTAGAGGTATAAAGAGAATTTGACTATATCGCGTTGAAACACCGGTCCACGTACGATTACTGAAGTTAATTAACGTCAAAACTTGTCAATACCTAGAAGAGTAACAGCTTGGGAATGAATGACAGTTTTTGTCAAATTGAATGTGGGGGTATAAAGGAAATACGGCCATATCACGTT